GTTTCGCAGATCCTATAGTCACTAACCCCATATACTCCAGTGACATGCTAGGGAAAGTACCTAGCACTTCCACTAACACAGAGAAGTAGAGAACTATTAAGCAAACTCAAAGTCAACAAAGGTACTAGAAAACATATTGTTTCGCAGATCCTATAGTCACTAACCCCATATACTCCAGTGACATGCTAGGGAAAGTACCTAGCACTTCCACTAACACAGAGAAGTAGAGAACTATTAAGCAAACTCAAAGTCAACAAAGGTACTAGAAAACATATTGCACCGCACTAAATAACAGGTAGAAAATTTTCTTAACAATTTAGCAATTACACATAGACAAGTTAAACTTTTTGATAAATCAAATTATTTAAAGTAGTATTTGAGGTAGGTGCACTAGTAACTCAGTAGAAGTGCACAATGCAGCAAACATTCAGACACAAAACGGACATTGAAAGGTCTCATAGACTTGAGATAATTTCAAGATAGATAAGAATCCATAAAGCTAACAAGACTCTAGGAAACAGCCTGCTGACCAATTACCTTAAGTTTGTGTCTCAGGTTCTTTTTCTGTCACATCATTAGTGGCATCATTAGCCTCCCCAGCTTCAGCATCCTCAGCAGGTGGCTGAACCTGCTCCTCTTCTGGCAAAGGTTCCTCCACATAATCATTCTCGAATGCATCGGCAGGAACCTCATAAATTCTCACTTGAGGCTTAGATGGATCCTTTACAAGAACATACTTTCCCTCATTCAACTTCATACACAAATCCACAATAGACTTGATAATTCCCCACATATTGGAGGTGTTGAGATTAATCTGTGCTGCAAAGTCTTTTGGCTTATACCCAACAACAGCCAAAATTACATGATTAAAATGATCCCTGGGATGCACCCTGGAAACATAACCCAATTTCATCATATCTGCACTTGCTAACAGTGCTTGGGCAGTCCACTTAGCCAACTTATTGGCGTTGTTTCTCAATTCCGTGGCCAAAACTGCACCCCTCTGTGTCTCTAATTTCTGCCTCCAATCAACACCTGAATATTTGGGATCAAACTCATTAAGAGCATTCAAAGTAAGGAACGACCTCTGATTATTAACCTCGACAACACTCTGCACCTCGCAACGGGCGACAAGATACATATCATCATCAAGCTTCCACCTTCTATACCTATAGCCCACGGACGCAACCTCATCTCCCTCATTTGCAAAGGGGTTTGGCTCATCAAATGTCACCTTATTGCCATCCCTCACCAAAACCTGCTGCGAGAAATTCTGGTTTATATATGCTGCCTCAACGCTCAACGAATATGCTGAATTAATATCATCCTTAGCCTCTGGCAATGGCTCCTGCGAGGTCTCGTGCACAGACAACAAATCCAGCTGTGACCCATCTCTCTTATCAAAGAAAAGCTTGTTCCCAACTCGCTGAATCACAATGTCCCACGAGTAAACTGACCTGGGTGCACACATTAAGGTTGCAAGAATGGTGTCCGTAGCAAAGACCGTAGCTTTATCTTCATTTGCCAATCTTCTGATCACCGGATCATCAGTGGTAGTTACTTTGAAGAAGTTCCTATTCTTAAACCTCTCCAGCCTCTTCTCATTCTTCGGTGTGAGGCGATCATAAGAGCGATTGTAGTATTCTAGTGCCCCGCACATAAGCAAATCATCTGGCTCAGGAACAGAAAATGACAACTTAGAGAATGTGGAGAATGGAATTTGGTCGAGCATGTTCCACTCAGGCTGAATGTCGACTGAAGACTTAAAAATGGCAGCCTCACGACGTGGCTGGTTCTGGTTTGAGCGGTTGAGGTTATAGAGACGATCACGACGTGCTCTTTCTTTCTCGGCCTCTCTCCTGCGGGCCTCGACCTCCTCGTCACGGCGCTGAGGAAGCTGGGGACGGTTCTGATTGAAACGCCACTTGGGTCCAAATTTGGGGCGAGGAGGGGGCTTGGCATCCACAAGGCGGAATGAAGAGTCGTCATCAGGGTTGGCATGGGGGAAAGCGTCGAGGTCGAGGGAGAAGTCGAAGGGGGCATCAGAGTTGGCGCCCTTTCCAGCTGATGGGCGGTTGGAAGGGTTGGCGGCGGCGGTGGGGAAGTTGCGGGTCCAGTCGGCTATGCGGCCAATCTTTTCAGACCTAGAAAATGGGGCGAAAGGGGCGTTGATTGGGAGAGTAGTCGTGGCAGTGGTTGATTCCGGCGGACCCCAACCGTCTGGATTGAACGGAACTGCTCCAACTTCGAAGCCGCCTACCATTGTCGCCCGATCTTGATGCAGTGTTTAGTGTGATTCGGGTTTGGGAAGAGAAGAGAATCGAAAACCCTAGAATAAACCATCACTCGAATATAAATAAATAAATAATTATTTATTGTTGGACAATAAAAGTCAGTCCAGCCCATTCTCAACCTTAATTAGGCTTAGGTCAGGAAGCCTTTTTATTCTAAGGTCCATCCTTCTCTCTTTGGGCCTTGCTTTCTATTTGGGAAAAGAATGCTTATGCTAATCTTAAATTTTTTTTTTCTTTTTTTCTTTTTAATCTAATTGTGAACTATATAATAAGGAATGGGTTTTCATTTTTTTCAAATCTTTTTTTTATTTGAGTTAAAATTTAAATATGATATTTTTAATTTAAAATCTTAATCTCTTGATCAATTGAGCCAGTTTATTGGGGGCTATGCTAGTCTGGATGGATTATACAAGGGTGCTATACAATTACCTTCAACAAGAGTTTTTCCGAGTTAGTTTCAACTAACTTAAAAATTTTGGTTTAAAGTTAAAATTAGTAATTCAAACACTTGAAAAAAGTACAATACAATTACTAGTGTTGTTAGGTTAGATAAATTTTTAAGGATTGTTTCTTTGATTTCTCAAACAAAAAAGAAAAGAAAAGAAAAAAGGATTGCTTCTTTGAAAAATCGTAAATACCCACAATAAATAACTTTCAATAGTATTTTTTGGGGCGTGTTTTCAGTACGTAGTATTAAAAATATCACTCTTATGGTCTAATTAATTAATTATTCCGTTATAATTTTATATTTAATTTTAAATAATACCTTTGAACTACGACAACCTACGCATTACAATTCAATTTTTTTTTTAATCATATAAAACTACAAAGGCAACAGGTTGTGTACATGCGTGGTGAACCGGCGATCATGCATATATTCTAACAAAAATATAACCTAAAATTGGCTAACAATACATATCTAATATATGAGAAGAGATCCATTTTTACATAAATTTTACATATTATTTATATAAAATTTTAAATATTAATATTTTAATTTTTAATAGTTGTGATTTATTATAATTTTTTAAATAAAAAAAATAATTATTTTTAATAAATTTAAATAAATCTTAATTATTAAATTAAAAAAAATAATTAAAATTTTATATAAATATAATATATAAAATTTATATATAAATAAACTATCTTTTATATACACTGGTCGAGCTCCTAGACTTCTTCGGAGTCTTCCCCTAATATGAGAATAATTTCCGGATGACCTTTCATTCGAACTTTCGAAAGTCAATTTTTTTTTTAAAGATACCTTTTTTTTGCAAACGCAAATTCTTTCCTTGCATTAGTCCCCACAAACCAACTAATTTCTATGTTTCATACACTGATAATGGAAATTTCACTTTTGCATCATACCTTGCTTGAAGGGTTCTTTTTCTTCAATATTGAAAACTCACCCTCATTTTCTCTCTCTCTCTCTCTAGTTTGAGCCAAACAATTTTTTTAAGTATGAAAAATTATCAGTATATATTTCCATTAAATTTATTTGTCAACACATACTAATTCAACTATTAAGATCTACAATTTTAAGTTTTTTCACTTTTATTTTCACTTTTAATTTAAATTTAAAAATAATAATTTTTTAATAAATATATTAGAAATATATACAAATCATTATCCTTAAAATAATGGTGTCTCAACTTTTGACTAGATTAGATAAATTTATAGATATTTATAAACGTCACATCTCGATCACTTATATTAAACAAATCTTTACTCATAGATAACAGACATGATTTTAAACTAACAATAATGTATCTAATTATGAAGAAAATTAACTTAAACTATAGAAAAATCAACTTAAATTAACTAACTATATATGTATACTTTCATGAAGAAATTAAATTTCTCAACATTTATAAATCTCCAACCATAATTTAGAAATTCCTCAACATTTCTATGAAGAAAATTAACTTAAACTAGGTGAAAAATCAGCATGCGATCCGTTTATTGCATGAGCAATACATATATTTTTCATCAAATTAAGCAGCAGAAAATCGCCATCCATCAGCATCATGGAGAAACTTGTTTAGTTTCTCGGATGTCTTAGGAGCTTCAAGAGCAATACAAATATTTTTCACCAAATTAAAATCACCATCCATCATCATCATGGAGGAACTTGTTTAGTTTCTCAGATATCTTAGCAGCTTCAAAACCCGGTGCAGACTCCCCAACCTACACAATTTTAAGCCAAAAATAATACCTCTATGATTAATTAATTTCCTAGAAAGATTTTCTGCAATACCAAATTAACATACAAATGAGAAAAAAAAAATTAATAAGAGATTATTGTTCTTACTGTGGCATGTATTGTGTGGAAGACAGTGTCGTTGACAACAGAGAAACTTGCATTCACAATATCAGCTCCTTCTTCGTTGAGAATACGAATTGTTTCATTAAAAATAAACTGTCCAGAATCAATATCAGTTATCAAAACAAGCTCCAAAGCCGAACCCATTTCATGAATTTTAATTTCAGGACGTTTTGTCCCACTGCTTCTGCTAGAACTCGTCCTGCCAATCCCCATCAAGCTGTTTTTCCTCTCCCTCATTCTTTCCAGGTTCGTCTGCAACTTCTTGATGTAGTTTGCTGCTGCATCTAGCTGATCTGGCAGCGACATCGCTTCCTGCAAAAAATACCAACCCCATGATGGTGATAAAATAAACATGATCACATTTCCATGTGTAATCTTTAGTATCACTATCAGAAATAAATTAATAAATAAATAAAGAAAGCGAAAGCTGCATATAACCATTTTTTCAGTCAGAAAATAAATGAAAACAGAAAACAAAAACAATACTAAATAGAGTCGTCTTTAAAAATTTTGTGTAAATAGGAGAAAGGGGGTGAGGGAAAAAACCCTAGATGAGTTGGGGTGGGGAACGAGGGAATTGAGCTGGGAGTAGAGGGCTTTCATTTGATTTCTTCTATTTCTCTCTATGACTTTCCTGTCAGCCCTAGAGGAATTAGGGTTGTTCTCCATGATCGAAATCCTATCTCCAGCGGCCGCCTTAGGACAACTTATTCATGGACAGAGACGGTGATCTTCTCTAAACTAGAATGTTAAAGATTCCAAATGGAATGCTAGTCAAAGGTAAAACTAAAGGAGAACATACGTAGATGCCCCAGAGAATAAGTTTACAGAGGTGGCGGTAGGGCTGAGAGGGCCGGCGGTTTCCTGTACATGGGGCCAAATGTGGATTGTCCTTGACCACTGTTTACTTGAGGGAAAAACGGAAACAAAGTCCATGAAACACTGTATCAATTACGGCTTTAGTATGAACCCAATTCCAGCGCATTTGTTGAATACTGAATGCTTAATGCTACCCCACATTTAATGCATGATTAATGTATCCGTCGTATATCGTGATGAGAATTTGACTGGACTCGACCAGTTGTCGAAGTTCTGGGTCAATTTTTTCTTTTTTGTTTTACTTTTAATGTGTAAGGGTTTGGTATTTTCTACTGGTTTTTGTGGCTTGCACACTTAGGGTAAACTTTAAAAATATAATTAATATATTTTTT